CTTCTGGCTTATTTCGCTGAGCATAATTCCTTCTACCTGCATCCACATTGCTGCGAATGGCACGAGTTTATCTTTTTTGATTGCTGAGTAATATTCCATTGTGTATATATATACCACATCTTCTTGATCCAGTCATCTATTTTTGGGCTTTTTTCAATTTTTACCTATTGTAAATAGTGCTGCAATAAACATAGGTGTACAGGTGCTCTTTTGAATCACTGTTTTTGTGTCCTTTGGGTAGATCCCTAGTAGTGGAATTGCCGGATCGGATGGTAGCTCCATTTTTAGTAGTCTGAAACTGAATAAAGAGCCCAGAAATAAAGCCACACTTATATGAACAACTAATCTTTGACAAAGGAGCAAAGAATATGCAATGGAACATGGACAGGTTGTTCAATAAATGGTGCTGGGAAAACTGGACCCCAACATGCAAAAAATGAAACTAGACCACTACCTCTCACCATGCACAAAAATCAATTCAAAATGGATAAAAGAACTGGACATAAGACCTGAAACCATAAAATATATAGAAGAAAATATAGGCAAAACACTACATGACATACATCTCAGAAACATCTTTAAAGATTCATCACCCATAGCAGTGATAGTGAAGGCAAAGATAAACACCTGGGATTATATCAAACTGAAATGCTTCTGTACAGTCATAGAGATATTAACCAAAACAGAGACACCCTACTTATTAGGAAAAAAATTTTTGCACTCCAGTCAACTGATAAGGGACTGATCACAAAGATATACAAAGAACTCACACGGCTCAACAAAAACAAAATAAATGATCCAGTCAAGAAATGGGCAGAACTCAAAAGACATTTCTCCAAAGAGGAAATGCAAATGGCCAACAGGCATATGAAAAAATGTTCAACATCCCTTATCATCAGAGAAATGCAAATCAAAACCACACTGAGATATCACCTTACACCAGTAAGAATGGCACATATAAAAAAAACAAGCAAAACGAACGTTGGCAAGGATGCAGTGAAAAAGTAACTCTCCTACATTGCTAGTAAGAGTGCAAACTGGTCCAGTGTCCATTTATAATGAAAACCCTGGAAAACCACAATGAGATACTACCTCACACCTGTGAGAAAGGTCCCCATTATAAAGAAAAAAAACAAAAAACAAAACCCAAGTTACAGAAACAACAAATACTGGCAAGGGTGTGAAGAAAAAAGAACTCTTCTAAACTGTTGGTGGGAACGTAGACTGACCCAGCCACTATGGAAAGAAGTTTGGGGATTCCCAAAAAATGGATCTACCATATGACCCAACAATTCCACTCCTAGGTTATCTACCCAAAGAACACAAAAACACTAATTTGAAAGGAAACCTGCACTCCTGTGTTTATTGCTGCACTATTTACTACAGTTAAGATATGGAAACAATCCAAATGTCACACAACAGATGAGTAGATCAAGAAGATATGGTGTATACATTCAACAGAATACTACTCAGTCATCAAAAAAGATAAACTCAAATGCTTTTTGCAGCAACAAGGATGGAGTTGGAAGGAATATCCTAAGTGAAATGAGTCAGAAGGCAAAAGATATATATTGGATGGTTTCACTCATATATGGAATATAGAAAAAACAAAGGATTAAACTATAAAACAGCTCCTTTAAGGCTGACCATAGATCTGAGGCATACAAGGGAGGGAGAAGGAAGGGAGAGTGGGAGAAGAGAAAATGGGAGAAGAGCGCACAATGGACTATGGTGGAGGGCAATAGGTGCTTTGGTGGTGGGAAAACTATGGTGACCACGCCTGAAGGAGAAATTCTGTATCGTGAAAAGACAAACAAGTATGTAAAATGATATGTCATTAATTTAAAACAAACAAACAAAACCCTCATCAATCTAAGGATATTCACTTGGTATGACAGGGATCAAGATAAAAACATAAAAAAGTGAACTTGGAAACAAAATACAAACCATACCCTCTAAAAAATAAATTACATCTGTGAAATATGAATAGAATGCTATAAAAGATTCTTGGAAATTGTGACTTGAAGCTGTCCATAGCCTCTGCAGCACAAGTTCAATCCCCAGCCAGCCAGGGAGCAACCCACATGGCACAACGGACCTCTCCTGACTCACCCGCTGCTCCCCTCAGCAGCGTACTTCGGTCAGTCTGCCTGTTGTGCTCCTCACTCTGTCTCTTGTGAATCCTCTCACCCTCCACACCTCTGGCCTGTACCCAAGCTCTTGTATGCATAAATAAATAAATCTTAAAAAAAAAATAAAGTTCACTTACTATGCTAGTTTCTGGTCATGAACTTTCAAAGACCAAAAACATTTCTAATATAAACAATCTTACTCATTCATTAATTCATTTTCTAACTTGCCTATCCCAGTTCAGGGTCTTGGGTGGTGAGCCTATCCCTGCAGCTCAGGGCACAGGACAGTGTAATGGTACAATGATGACATTTAGACATGTAAGATTTAAGAACAGTTACCTTCCTTGCATTTGTCTCAGTAAGATCTCAAGATGGCATACACAAAACAAGGAAGAAACCAAGAAAGAGGCATACAAAGGATACAGGAAAAGAGACTATCCCAAACAGCAAAGTGACGAAATGAGTCAAACTCCAAATGGTGAAGAGAATCTGGAATTAAGTTGTGCACTAGGTCTAAAGTGCAAACAAAAGAATAGTCAGATAAAAAGGCCCCAGAAGAGATTTTTTGAAAAGATGAAATAAACTACCTGACATGAATAAACTTTATCAAAGGACATTTTGACAATTGAAATATTTGTTAGTCATATTTAAAAAAAATATTTCATGACATTCAGAAAACTAAGCAGATAAAACAAGAACTAGCTTGGGCCTCCCCGGTGGCGCAGCGGTTGAGCGCTGGGTTGCGAAGCTGCCCGAGGCCTCTGCGGCGTGGGTTCGATATCCGGCTGCTCCCCGGCCACCGGAGGAGGGCCCCGCATGGCGTGCAGACCTCTCCTGCAGCCCGCTGCTCCCCTCAGCAGTGTACTTCGGTCCTTCTGCCTGCTCTGCTCCCCGCTCTAGCTCTGGTGAATCCTCTTACCCTCCTGCGCTTCTGACTGTACCCAGTGCACGTATAAACTAACAAACAAATAAATAAAACATGCCTCTATTAAAAAAAAAAAAAAACAAAAAAAAAACCAAGAACTAGCTTGAGGAAAACATAAGTACAGAAAAGAAAAATAACTAAAGCACACTTCAGTGTTTCTCAAACTTATGCGTAAGAATCACTTGGGAATTTTGTTACATGCCTTCAAATTCTGGCCTGCATCTATAGAGATTCTGCGTTTTTCTCAAGCTCCCAGGAGAGGCCAGGACTGTTTTTGATTAATGAAAAATTCATTATGTGCTAACTACAATAAATGTGAAACAGCAATATAATGTTACAGTAATTGTTCAGAAACTTTTTCTGACAATCCTACTGCCCATAACTAAAACAATTTTAGACTCCAGTTGCCTTTTTGTAACGTATCTTTTATTTGGCTACCCCCACTGCCATACTCTACTACCTTCTTCTTTGGTTGTCTTTATTATCAGGACTGAAAAAGCTACATATTCAGTCTCCCAGCCTCCCTCACAGCCAAAGATGGACAGGTGTCACAATTTTCTACAGTGACAGTCAGCTGAGAGGGATTTTGAGAAAACTGACTTTCCTATTGAAGGACAGAAGAGGCTGGCACAGCTATCTTTTCTTTCTGCCTTTAACACTGCTGGTATATTTGATATTGTGTCTGTCAGTCCTTTTACAAGCTTGAGACAACAATCATAAGAATGTTAGGAACATGCCAAGAACAGTGAAATATACAGATACATGAGGACATCAGTGACAGCTGAACCAACAGTTATAATCTGTAGATTTCATATTATTCCAAAATTAACTAGTGCAGGGGTCTGTTTTGCACATATCATCCCAATATTTATTCATGATATAGCTACTTAGATATTTGACTTTTGTTCATCACTGTAAAGTACATTAACAGAAATTATTAAGGAAAAAAACAGGAATTCCAATACTTCCTCCTGCACATCAATGGGTCACTGAAACTGTGGGTTTATTTTTCAACCAACTGAAATTGTTCAGTCTCAGGCAATAAAAACTTAAATGAGATTTACTTGAAAGTGAGGTAACTCACAGAATTCACAGACAAGCTAAAGCAGGCCTCAGGAATTATAAGTTCAAATTTGTAAATTATTAGGAATCTTTGCTCCCATCACCATCCATACTTGAGATTTAAATTCCCGAGAAATAACCTACTAGCCGAAGCACATGGAGTCAGACAATGCAATTCTACAAGTAAAGTTCATTAGCCAAAAACACATGGCTGGGTAAGGATCCCAGTAAATTTTTACACAAAATCAGCATTTTCAGAATAGTCCTTCGGAATAAAGTTACTCTCCAATCCAATTTAGTTTCTTGAAAAATAGTGTATAATCTTAGAATTGCAATTAAGATAATGTTGTCAAGTCTATAAAATAAGCAAATCTAAAGCCTAAACTCCAGGACTTTTTTTTCCCATATACAAATGGCTGGCTTATTTTTATTAAAAAAATTATTATTATTAAAAAAAGGAAAGGATGGGCCTCCCTGGTGGCGCAGTGGTTGAGCGCTGGGCTGCGAAGCTGCCCACAGCCTCTGCAGCACCGGTTCGATCCCCGGCCACTGACAAGGGTCCCACATGGCGTGCAGACCTCTCCTGCTGCACCCGCTGCTCCCCTCAGCAGTGTACTTCGGTCCTTCTGCCTGTTCTGCTCCCCGTTCTGGCGAATTCTCTCACCCTCCCACATTTCTGACTGTACCCAGTGCTTGAATAAATAAATCTTAAAAAAAACTGAAAAAAAAAAAAAAAAAGGAAAGGATGCTTGCAGAGACTCAAGCAGGCAGAAAGAGCTGCCTCCAGGGCATTCTGTATGTCAAAAAACTAATTGCACAATTTGGATATAGCAACTGACTATAAATTATGATCTACAAGCTACTCATAGTCTTCCAAAAGGATCTAAAAATTCCTATAATTTCACACTTAACCTTGCACTACTCATTTTATTCTTATGTCCTCTACTGACATTAATGAGTTCACAAGCAGAAGCTACAAGTCAGTTTCGAATTTTATTTAACTTAAAAGGTTAACAAAATGTGTAATTAAAATCTTACCAAACTTATCGATCTAAAATATGTTTACATAGAGGACAGTAACTTATGGTAGAGTCCATGTTCATTTAAAAATATGCTTCTTTCTTCCACAAAAACTCTATGGAAGGCAATTAACATTTTCTTTTACACAGCATAAGAATCAGATGCAAACTTTAGATGTAAATTTCTTTGTCAACTCTGAGGCTGAAGTTGGGAGGCAGAAATGTTCATAGTGCAGAAAAATGATGGAAATAAACAGCTGCTTGTTCCAGATGCCTCTGTTCATATTTCTTACAGTAGTATCACATACTTGAAACTCAGACCCAGTCACTTCTTCTTCTTTCCTTTTCCTTTCTTACTCCCCTCTCCTTGCTGCAGAGTTTGGTCACCACCTCCTGTTTTTTGTGTCCTTGTTTTTAATTTAGGTATCATTTCTGCTGCATACAACATTACTGACTTACCTAAGAATCAGAAATTAGGCTTAGTATTTAAAAGAACAAAATCAAAATGTAAAACATTAAATTGAAAACAAAAATGTTGGCCTTGGTCCAAAATTGAACTTGACCTGAGCATCAAAGGAGAATATATCTCAATATATCTCAAGCTGGAAACAAGAGTCAGAATATCACACCTTAAGCTATAGAAACATGCCTTCTCAAACTTCTAACAAAACCCAATTAAGGTACAAAAGATTTTAAGGTACAAAAGATTAAGGTACAAAATATTTTACTCAAATGTTTAGGTGATTTATGTATATAGGCACGTGTTCTGTACCAAGAGCCTCTTCCAGCTCCAGTAGTTACCATCTTTATCTTAAAACACCTTGCTCTTGGCTCTTTTCATTTTACTATTTTCTTAGTGGAAACGTGAAATATATCTTCAACTGTAATTTCTATGGTTATTTTATTTATTTTATATAAAAACCAATCTTTAATTCAAAAAACAACTGAGTTGTCAAAAAATTAAATTGTCCATTTGGGGTCTTTGTGTAAAGGGAAAAAAATCTTATTTTAAAAAATTCAAATGCTTGGGTTCCCTCGTGGTGCAGGGGTTAAAATGCAACCTCTGAGGCAATCCACAGCCACTGCAGCAAGAGTTCAATGCACCGGCCAGGGAGCTACCCATATGGCACAGCAGACTTCTCCTGACTCACCCACTGCTCCCTTCAGCAGTGTGTTTCAGTCAATCTGGCTGTTCTGTTCCCCACTCTGTCTCTGATGAGTCCTCTCACCTCCTGCACCTCTGGTCTGTACCACGGTTCTTGTATAAAAATTAAAAAAAAAAATTAAAATGCTTTTTGAAATAAATTCTGAAAAGATTAACACATAAAAACTTATCTTCCCAATACCTAGAATTAAAATTTTAGAACTCAAATGTCAATTTTATTGGTTATGGTTATTTAAGAAATAAAGCACTAAATATAAGGCTATAGTCCTCCCTGACCATCTCTATACACCCTGCACTCTGATAGATTAATTAAAGATTGGCTATTTTCTTCTAATCATTGCAAAAGCATTTTATATATGTGTGTGTATATGGATATATATGTGCTATATATGTATATATGGATACACATCCATATACACACACACAAAATATCAGTACAGAATATTACATTACACATTTATCAATAAGTAGTGGTATTTTGTATTCAAATTTACCTAAGAGATCCCATACAATGTATATACCTCTTGCTTTTTTCAATGTGGCTTTTTAGATTAATCATAGAAATTATTAACACAGACCTCAAGGGTCTCTAGAATCTGAATGGCAGCTAACATCTGATTAATTAATAATTTTATATCACTAAACTGGAAGCAATGATGCATTTCCAGCAGATTATAAAGTGTTTGTAAAACTTTTTTTGGACAGATCATTAAAATTTATCACAATCTCAAAGAGGTTCTTAAAAGAAGTTAGAGCCACTGTTTACCTTTTTTTTTTTTAAAGATTTATTTATTTATTTATACAAGAACCGGGGTACAGGCCAAATGTGTGGGAGGGTGAGAGGATTCACCAGAGACAGAGTGGGGAACAGAACAGGCTGACCAACCGAAATACACTGCTGAGGGGAGCAGCAGACAAGACAGGAGAGGTCTGCTCGCCATGTGGGTATCTCCTGGCGGGAATCAAACTGGCACTGCAGAGGCTGCAGACAGCTTCACAGCACTGCGTTCAACAGCCTGCACCAACAGGGAGGCCCACTGTTTACCACTTTCCATCAATAGTCTTTATAGAATGCATATTATATTTTTACCTTTCAAAATCAATTTCAGAGCCTTTTCTGCAGTACAGAGGAATAACCTATCCCCAAATTGTGTATTTGTTCATCAAAAAAAGCTCACGTGATGGAAACTGTACAAGACACAGGCTGCCATCTTCTTGCTTGAGCTGGACCCGGACTCTGCCCCTGTATTGAACATCACGATTCCATTCTCTGGAATACATTTTATTTTTCTAACAAAAATAAGAATAAAAAGTTTTAAGAAAATTGAAAATTATCCCAATAAGATATGCATGGAAAACAGTGAAAAAAGAACCACATCATACCTCAAGAAATACATTAAGTCCAACTGCTGAGCATACATCTTGAATCTCTGTAGCTGTGGGATTTTCAACAGCCTGAATAGTTAAAATAAAAACACTACAGCTTAAAGTGGATACTGCTATATTGTGTAAATCACTTAAAATACCAACACCAAAACACATGTTAAAATCCTAGGCTTTCTCTTTCACTAGGTACAGTTGTTTTAATTGTAATTTTAAAAATTCCTAGGAATAACAATGATTCATACTTCTGTGGCCACTCCCTTAAAACAGAACATAAATTTCACAAGGGCAAGGACTGTTTTGTTCACCCGTATATTTAGCAGCACCTGACTTGCTGCTTGTAAAACAGTAGATTTTCAAGGAATATTGATTAAACGACCACTTTAGAAATCTGGAAGAAACTACTAAAGCCAAATACTTGCATTTCTTATGGGCCTGTAATTCTACTCTAGGATCTATCAGTAAAATTCAAAAATTCATTCACTAAAGTTCAAAAATGTTCACAGCAGCAGTATTTTTAATAGCCCCAAACCAGAAACAACTTAATTATACATGAACAGTAGTATGAATTATGGTATGCTAACGCAATGAAATACTACAGAGCAGTGCTTTTCAGTAAGGCAATTTTGTGCCCTAAAAGACATCTGGGAATGCTTAAGAGTCATTTTTGATTGTTATAACCTGGGTAGGGTAGGGCACTAGCAACTGGTGGGTTGAGGCCATGAATTCTTCTAAACATCCTAAAATGTACAAGGTAACTCCCACAAGAAACACTTATCTGACTCAAAATGTCAGGCTTCTGGTGCTGAGCAACGCTGTGACAGAGCAATAAGAATTACTACACTAAAGTGTGGGGAAATCACATAAGCTTAAAGTTCAGTGAGAAAAGACAGACAAAAGCACACAGTATATAAGCCATCTGAAACCACTGTTGGAAGCCAGGGCAGCGATTATCCTTTCGGGTGAGTATATATACAGAGAACAGTAACCAGAGGGAACATAACGGAATCTTCTTGGGTGCTAGCAATTTTTTTTTTTAATTTGGGTGCTAGTTACCCATGTGTACGTATATACTTGACATTTATGTATCTGTATGTATACTTTACATCAGTAAAGTTAAAAACAATTCATTCTCCAAATCTTAAGAACTTGCTACCAGAGGTCTCCCTCACAGCGGCTAAATTTCAAGTATTCTGAATCACTGCTTTAGTGTCTTCTCTTTTACCCTGAAGCAGCAAAGTAGAATTTCCTTTACATATTTATGCAGCAAATTGGGAAACATTAAATAACACAAAAATAACAAATTCCTGGTTCAGGTAAAGTTACCTTACATCTGTTGTTAGATTACAAAATGTAAATGACTCTTAAAAACTAGGGCAGGGGCCTCCCCTGGTGGCGCAAGGAGTTGGGACGAAACCTATGAGGCTGTCCACAGCCTCTGGGGCAGGAGTTCGATCCCCTGGTAGGCCATGGGGGCAACTCACATGGCAGTGTAGCAGACCTCTCCTGATCCACCCACTGCTCCCCTTAGCAGTGTACTTTAAGTTAATCTGCCTTTTCTGTTCCCCACTCTGTCTCTGTTGAATCCTCTCACCCCCCACACCTCTGGCCTGTACCCAGTTCTTGTATGCATGGATGAATAAATCTTTAGAAACACACACACACACACACACACACACACACACAAATAGGGCATGGGATGGTTTCACTTATATGTGGAATACAGAGAAAATGAACTAAGGGCCAGAAAAAAGAACTGGCAGATCTGAGGCCTACAGCAGGAAAGGGGTGGGGGAGGGGAAGTGGGGTGAAAACAGTGAGGGAAGAAGAGCACAAGAAACAGGGGTGACAGATCACAGGGTCTATTCTATGGTGGTGGGAGAACTATGGGGACAACATCAGAGTAGAGAAATCAAACACTGTACAAAAATTAACACTGTGAGTAAATTCAATGATAAAAATCTAACAACCAAACCAACCAAAAACCTACAATATGACCTCAATTTTGAAAACAAAGTAACTTCTACAATAACCCTGCAGTTGGCATTAGTACTTTTCAAACTTAAGCCACCAAGTCAACTATCACAGCACACAGGGAAAATCCTACCTTTTAAAACTGTAATACACTAATTTAGAAAGCATTAACTTTAAAATAACTGTACCCCTCTCAAAAAAATTAAAAAAAAAATAATGGAACTATAACAATGAAACTTGTCTGAATTTTCTGCAAGTCTTGTTTAATACTTCAACTGCATTCTGGATATTATATTGTACAATGCCATGTTGGCTTCCTTTATCAAGGAGAAGACTACCAAAATCTTGATTTAAAAAAATATGCAAGCCCTTCACCTCCCACCCCTTTCTTTCAAACAGTTTCATAAAGCACTACTTGGAAAAATTCCTGTAGCTATGACGTGTCTTTCTGGTTTCACCATCATTAAGAGAGCACCTCAATTCTTAGCTGCTGCTCTCCTCAAGCCCCCCACATTAAAAGTTACTGTGGCCTTAACATTACAACTTTTCCCAACCCTGCCAAAGAAGTACCTGCCACCGACTTACCTTACTTATGGGGATTCGCCTCCCTTCCGCGATGGTCTTCTTGTTATTTAAGTAAGCAGGATAGATGCAAATGAACCTGCCACAATAAAAAGCACAGCTGGTATCACCGGGACAGTATTTCAAAATCTCATCATTCATCTTCATCACGATTGTTAACCCATCTATACTATTATTTGTTTAACTTTTTAATGTAACCTTTTATGTAACTTACTTAAAAAGGAAACTTTACTACTTTGAATGAAAAAAAATCACCTGTTAAGAGAAGGTTAAAACAAAAAAAGTCGTATTTAGCGCGACAGAACCGCCTGTCAACAGTTGCTGAGGGCGAGGCCCTTTCTCCCAAGCAGAAAGTACGGCGACAAAGGTATTAGGGATTTTTAAAGAACCCAAAGCAGCACAGACATAACAAAAAATGAAAAAGAACAGATTTCCCACTTTGTCATTCTGTTGCTTAATAGCCCTGGCCACTTAGACCAAAGTCCTTTGTCTCACAGACAGGTACGCGACGAGCAACTTATCTAGAATGCCGGGACCCTCGGGTAGGCACCAGCGCCGGGGCCGAGCCCCGCGGGGAGCCCTGGGGGGGGGCCTAGCCCCGCGGCAGCTGCCAACCCCTTACCCGCCTCAGGACCCACCTGTCCTGGTCGGCCGGGGAGCGCGCCGACGCGCAGGCCATCGTCCCGGCGGCGCACTCGGCGCGCGGACCCCGGAACGTGAGAAAAGCGGCTGGTACTCGGCTCCGAGAGGTCCCAGACGCCGCTTCCGGCGGAAGTCCCTCCCCCGCACGGGCCGCGTCAGCCCGCCCCTCGCCGCCCGTTTGTCCCGACACCTGTCGCTCGGCGCCGTCGCTGGTTCTGACGTGGCGTTGGGCCCCTCTCCTCTCGCGAGGAGAAAACTGACCCCTCCCCTGTTCAGATCCGTGGGCGAGCACGTTTTGGGTCCGTGAGACCTAAAGTCGAGTTCGAGTTTCAGGCTGTTTGCCAGTTTCCTACGGAGCTAGGCTAGTGCCGCTCCTCGTGGCCGGGGCAGCGCGTCTGCGTCGTCCCGCACGTCACGCGGTAGTAGAACTGTAACAGGGTGGTCCGCAGGAAAGGGGGAAGTTCCAGGTTCCCTGCCCCACCCAAGGGAGGGTGGAGCTGAGCAGGAAGAGGAGAAGCTGCAGAAGAGACTGAGGAAGGAAGCAGGATGGAGCCAGGAGACCTGGAGGATATGGTGGAATAAAAATTAAAAGGGGGGATTGTAACAGGGTGGTCCCCAGGAAAGGGGGAAGTTCCAGGTTCCCTGCCCCACCCAAGGGAGGGTGGAGCTGAGCAGGAAGAGGAGAAGCTGCAGAAGAGACTGAGGAAGGAAGCAGGATGGAGCCAGGAGACCTGGAGGAGGCGCATGGAGCCTAGAGACACGTGAAGAAACTGCGCTTGTCTTGTGGTAGTGGACGGGGTGACACAGATGTGGGTGAGACCCGTGGGGAGGTGACAGTGGCAGCTTTTATCTTGATGTTGATTTTGCTCTTTTCCTTCCGGGCTTGTCTGGTTGTTTCTGACTCTTTTCTGTGGGTCCCCACTGGAAGGTGCTTTAGACTTGTGGCAGGCTTTGGGGCCTTGCTCTGGGCCAATCCCATATGGAGGGACTTTTACGCACGAGGGGACGGGTAACTTTGGGTGCTTCATTTAGAAACTAGACTCTTTGCCTTTCCTGTATTGTTTCCTAGTTTTATTAAAGATCCTTCCCATTAGTCTCATGTGTTTTGTGTTGATGCGGCGGATGGCCGAACCCATTTAGAATAGGCAGGTTTGCGGGGTTTGGGCTGCCCCTCTCCCTGTCCTATTGTAACAGGGTGGTCCCCAGGAAAGGGGGAGGTTCCCTGCCCCACCCAAGGGAGGGTGGAGCTGAGCAGGAAGAGGAGAAGCGGCAGAAGAGACTGAGGAAGGAAGGAAGCAGGATGGAGCCAGGAGACCTGGAGGAGGCGCATGGAGCCTAGAGACATGTAAAGAAACTGCGCTTGTCTTTTGGTCGTGGACTGGGTGACACAGATGTGGGTGAGACCTGTGGGGAGGTGACAATGGCAGCTTTTATCTTGATGTTGATTTTGCTCTTTTCCTTCCGGGCTTGTCTGGTTGTTTGTGACCCTTTTCTGTGGGTCCCCACTGGAAGATGTTTTAGACTTGTGGTAGACTTTGGGGCCTTGTTCTGGGCCGATCCCATATGGATGGAGTTTTACCCACGAGGGGACGGGTAACTTTGGGTGCTTCATTTAGAAACTAGACTCTTTGCCTTACCTGTATTGTTTCCTAGTTTTATTAAAGTTCCTTCCCATTAAAGTCTCCTATGTTTTGTGTTGATGCGGCGGATGGCAGAACCCATTTAAAATAGGCAGGTTTGCGGGGTTTGGGCTGCCCCTTTCCCTGTTCTATAACACTATAACAGATTCTGCGAGGAGATGTCCATTGTGTTGAAGCTTTCCTGGCTCCTGGGCCCTGCTGCTTGCTTTTAACTTGGCAAAGTGGGATTTATAGTGATGGAACTAAAAAATTAGTGGCTGCGCTGTACATATATCGGTGTGCTGTATATACATCGATAATTTAGACTACCAGCTTTAAACTTCTGAAGAATACCTTCTGCCCTAAACTTAAATGTTTTTGCATACTTAGGTAAATTGCAAAGCACTCTTTCAGCATTTGCTAACTTCAGGTAAATACACTTTAATTGTTTTTCAGTAAGCAGGATGAACATATTTGTGCTCCAAGATTTCATGGTGGTCAGGGCTGTTCATAACGATTAAATAACACAAAACCAAATTCATTGCGTCAGGTAAAATTACTTTAAATCTGTTGTTAGATTACAAAATGTAAATGACTCTTAAAAAATAGAGTAGTGAGAGGAACTGAGGCCAGGACAACTTGGAGAACGGGAAAGGATGAGATTTGGGACGGTGATTTTAAACAATATAGGAACAGAGGAAACAAAACAGCTTCCAGGAAAACAGAAGTGTTTTATTGAAATGTTGCTGAGCTAGCCACCACCTAGAGTAAGATCAGGTTACAGGATAAGTAGGGAACACAAAAAAACGACCACCAGAAACTTCCTGGACAAGTAGTGCCTAATCAATAGTCTGGCACATGGGGCAACAGCAAGTCTAACAGTATATAGTCATAAACAGGACTGGAGTAAAACTGGCATCCTCTCATAGACACCCCCACACCCCCCCATCATCAGGAGTTCTTTCTGTTTGCTTCAATACCCACACTTGCTTGCTCTCATGTTTGGTATGGTGGCTGTTATTCTTCAACGGGTGTACACACCCAGACCCAAGAGCATCCACTCTCTTAACTATGACATAATTCTGTAAATAAATTTTCTGCAAAGACCCTTCAGTTGTCATAAGGCACTTTCCAAACTTAAGCCACCAGGTCAACTATCACTGCACACAAGGGGGAAATCCTGTCTTTTAAAACTATAAAACCCTATTTGTTTAACTACAAGGGTACATGGTGGTCAGGGCTGTTCATAAATCTTTGGAATGTCCCCCTATACCTGGAAGAAGGTAATTGTTCATAGGCACAAAAAAGCATAAGTTGGAACAAATGAGGCATAATTAATTATAGAAAAGTGCAGTCTTTCAGTGTACAGCATGCTTTTCTGGTCCCAGAATCCTCGGATGGCATGGTGGCTTGTGACTGGTCTGACTTGTTCTGAACCCACTGTGCCACATCCTAAAGAAGGCACTTTTCAAAAAAAAAAAAAATGGGTGGGGGCAAGATAGATAGGCAGACGGATAGATAGATGATAGGAATTGGCTCATACCAATATGGATGTTGAGATACCCCACTATCACCCCACACCTCTTATATATAAACCCTTGGTCTGCCTTCAACAAATGTCCTGTTAAGCAAGAATCCCTCCACCCAGAGTAATTTTCCATCCACTGACCCTCATTCTGCACTTTGGTTAAACATTTCCTGTGTATCTATTGTATTCAGAATTGAACTGATCTCTTTCCTTTATTGCAATAATCTTGAACCGTTTTTCTTACCATTTTAACATGCGTCAGAGTAACTTTTTCTTTAACAAATTCCTCATAGCATGATAGTTTCAGGACTTCTTAAATGGTAAATGGTTTCCTAGAGGTGTCAAAGTAGAAACTGCAAGGTTTTTTTTTTTTTTAATGTCCGTTATTATTTCTTCCACATTCATTGGTCAAAGCAGTCATAGTGTTACAGAGCAACTCCAATATAAAACGAGTTGCCTGACTGTGGGTCCTCACCTGTGCGCTTAAAGGGGACTTAAAATGCAGGTACACACAAAAGGTTAATCACAGGTTTATTTACAAGGAAAGGGGAAATGAGGAAATGAGTAACTCAGGGAGAAAAGGAGGGAGATAAATTCTTTAATGCGTCCTATCCATTCCACTGACCTGCAATCCCAAATTACCTGCCAAAACCAAGCACTACCTGGCCAAGACAGAGCTACTCCCACTCACATGGCTGGTTAAAAATACAAACAGAGAAAAATGGCTGCTTAACTCCACCCTCAAGTCCTCGCAACCTCCCTTTGGGGGTCATGGGATTTGTAGCTCCCAGTGTCTTCATGGAATGGGGGTGGAGTCCACAAAGCCTGCATGGAATTTGCTCAGGCCATCCTTTCCCCCTAACAATAGGACTAGTTCCGATTCAATGAAGGTAATACAAATTCTTTTAGCAAAAAAAAAAAAAAAAATCATATAGGATGTGGGATATTGTGCAACCTATGGAAATATGATCTACCATAGTGTAAGTCATGTTCTACAGAAATATAGTACAGTCAGTTTCCACAGAAGACAGAAGATGGGATTACTATCTGCATTAGTTCAACTTGACCTAATGCAGAGCTTCCCTGTTGGGAAAAATCCAGAGTACACATGGTATTTATGACTAAGATTTGTTTTTATTCCATATTCAGTCTCTGTGGGATTTATACCCATATCATTAGGTGATACCCATATCAAATTTATACCCATATCAAATGCCTTGCATTTGAGCACAAACAGCTTTGGTAGTCTTATGAGAAACTGTTAATTCTAAGGGGAGGGCAGCTGTTCATCCCACTTCTAGAGCAGCCCATGCAACTTCTGGGCACCAAGAATTCCTGACAGTACAATCTACACTTGGGCAGTGTAGGGTAGAGTAAAAGGTATCAGGCTTTTCTGCCCTCCCGCCATTAGGATAGATGACAGAACCCTGTGGTCCCGAATGCATGCCTGATGGCCGGCACCTGGAGTAGGGTGTGGGCGTAGGTAGATGGGATTCACCTGGGCTAAGACTGGGCTTTTAAGGGCAGCGTCATGGGGACTCCAGTAGAAGCTGAGAAAAAGAGAAGCCAAGAGAACAGAGAGAAGGCCAGAGAGCCCAGATAGAGTGAGGATTTGCTGGAGCTGGGAGGACTGCCAGCCTCCCGGCCCCCCAGCACCCCTGCCTGCCATATGCCTGGTAAATCTAAATAAAACACCTGCAAAAGCCACTGAGGATTCTGATTTCTTCTTTACCCAGTCTGCTGGATCATACAAAACCTGCTCAGTGTCCAGTCCTGCTCATACAATTGGCGTAAGTCAGCAAGATGATCCAAGCAGACGGGTATGGAGCCCTCCAAAGACCTGGAGGGACTAAGGAGTAACAGACCGTGTTTGCCTGTGACAACGCTGGAGGCATCATGGTGGCAGAGGAGATGAACAAGGTCCAGGAGCTGCAGGACGAGACCTCG